GGGACTGCGCATGGGTATAAACGAGCTCGTTGGAAAGTGTTTGATTTAGACATCACTTTCCTTGAAGTGGTTTTCACAAACGCGAGATGAATCACGTAGTACAACACCACAGCTTTCTTCCCATCGCTGTCGTCTTAATTCGCAACTAGGTGGTTTAAAACATCGCACTATTTTTGTGTCCTGACTTTTATTGCATACAGCGCACCGTTCAAACGTTTTGCTCCGTTTCATCTTGGTTTCCTTACATTAAATATTTAAGCAAAGTCGAACGTATTTACTTATTACCAAACTTAAATGTACTTACTTGCTCTTCTCAGCGGTTTATCTCGTAACAATTTCCCGTTTATTAAGAAAATTTGTTGCTTGAAAAATTTGTGTGTATTTTTTTTTTTAATTCAAATTTGAAAAAAAAACACATTTTCAAATGGGTTAACAATTCATTTCAATTTGACATTATAGCCTGCTTCTTATGAGAGCAATGTCAAAATCAATCACACTTTGTTGAATAAATTTTGGTCCCAACTAGCCTCATATGGGTAATAATGGAGGTCAATTAGTCTCGACTCATCCCTTATGGGTATAATTGGAGATCAATTAGTCCCCAACTCATCTCTAACGGGTACTATTAATGATATGTACGCACTTAGTCAATGAAATTTCATGTGCGGCGTTGGCACACAGAGAGAGTATTTTATACCCGTTTGGGTATAAAGGTGAACAATTAGTCTCTTCATAGGACATGCTCGAACAAAAGCGATCAGTTCATTCCATATAAAGAGATCAAAAGTGGTATTAGTCGCATGCTCCTTTGCGATTGCTCCCGGAGTCATCCCGGATTAGTCCCATTTTTCGCAGGGTATAGATACACACATTTATACATACATATGAATGTGTGCATGGATATGAAATGCAGACCTTCCCCGTAGCGAATGTCATGCATTCGTCACTTAAGACTCGTGTACGGAAAAGTTACGTCTTAAATGACTTTGGGCTCCGTTTGTATGGAAGTCGTTCATGACTTTTTCATATAAATGGTAATTTCGTCGTTGATGTCATCTGCATGATTTGGTCATGCGGTGATCATTAATGACATTGAAGCGACAGTATCTTGCACAGTGTTGCCGGGAATCATTTTTAGTGGTAGCCAAATTCCTTTAAAAAAAGGGCTAAAAAAGAGCTAAAATAAGTCGTTGTGGCTAAAAATGGTAGGTAAAATTTTTTACTTACATATACATATATAAGCATACACGCAAACATTATCAATAAGCAATGGTATAGAAAAACAATGAACTCTGGAAAAAAAGCAAATATTTTTCCAACCAACAACCGTTTTGTATTTAAGGGAAAATATACGACACCAGCTTGCTGGCTCCATCAAGTTATTTTACCATCAGGCTCGAAGCATATATCTTACCAGCATGCTGCTACAATATTCATTTCTTTACAAATGAGGTCGAGGAAAGATCGAAATGATTAGAGCCGAAATTTCATACTTTTTTACCGTTTTGTTAAACATTGTTTTTGTTTTTTTTGATTCACAACTGCAATATCGGGAACTTAATCCTCCACATATACGGCTTTGACTCATATAGTGCAAGAAATGTCCGCCAAAATACTTTTTACTTAGAAAATTTAGCTATCAATCATTGATGGGCCATTTAACAAATTAAGCATATTAAGGGCCGTAAACTTATCTATTTTAAACTATAGTTAAATCGTTAATAAATAAGTTAACAGCCCTAACACTTTTACAGTATGTACATATGTATGAAAACGTAAGGTACATACAATACATATATGTATATTAGACTGTCCCAAAAAACCAACATTGGTGTTATCTAAAAAATATCCGAATAAAATTTTGTGCAATTCTAACCACGGCAACTCGTGCCGACTTGCAGTCAAAGTTATCAGAATAAGCTTGTTGCAGTTCGCGTGTTTTGTTAATTTACTCATTTTACTTCTTTATAAGATGGTATTACTATACTCCCTACAATATTAGGACATAATATTTAGTAAGTCTACGTTTTTGGTTTTTTACTTGGTAGTCAGGATTTTTTCCAAAGGACCATAAATTATAATATATTTCCAAAAGTTTACACTAAATATGGAGATATGGGTATCAAATGAAAGAAGAATTCGAAAAAAGATTAACTATAACTTTTGTTTTCAATTATCATTTTGGAAAATGTCAAAAATGTCCTTAAAAATTTTATTCTTCAAGATTTTTAATTTTGAATGAGTTATAAAGAATTTTAGTTTAATTTAAATATTATTAATATATATAAGGATACTAAAAGATAAAAATTTCAAAGGATATTTTTCAAATTTTGTAATTAATACTGCCACATTTATTCTTTAATCAACCCGAGAGGACATGTCAAACACTAAAACACCTTCTGTTTATTTAATATTATTAAATGCATTTTCTTAAAGAAGGTAAAGAATTTGTTAAAAAACTTGAATACACAAATTTAATTAAAAAATGGTCTAAAATTGCAAATTTTCAGGACATGAAAAAAATTATTCGACTAAAAAACATAAAGTTTTGCAGCCTTTTAATACACCCCTTCAAATATACTATGCTTTTTCATTAACTACATTAATTTTTGCTGAGCTCCTAAGTTTTGCTAATTCCAAATATACATATGTATCTTTTCTAGTAGAAAAATTTGTGTATCTCCTGAAAACGTGCAATTCTGAACATTTTTTAATTGGTGTGACAGGGCGTATGATGAATACAAAATTATTAAATTCAACTTTTCTACTACATTCCTTTTTCTTAAAAAAAATGCCTTACAAAATATTAAATAAACCAAATCATATGCTTTCTTATTTTATATGTCCCTTCAGGCTGTTCAACTGTTGTAAATCAGTACGAAATTATGTTTAGTTAAATTTTTTTTATGTCATACGGAAACGATTTATTTTGATTATTAAATATATGAAAGGTATTTTTTTAAATGAGGAAACCATATCGCTAGCTTAGAGTGAAAAGTTGCTAAGTCCGCTTTTTATGAAAACTCATATTTTGATACATTACATTGTATTAAACCACAAGCGTTTATGCAATATTTCGGAGCAGAAATATTTGCGGAAGTGCGTAGTTGCGAAAGAACGGCCAGAAAATTTGTTATGTGTAGAAAGTGTTTATTAGCTGGTGACTTATGTACGGCGTGCAAGTGTACAGAAGTCGAGGCGTCATGCATTCGTTTCGGTATGACGAAACGATTACTCTACTTTGATTATTCGCGTAATGTGCCGAGTGCCTAAGTAATACATACATCCATACATATTCTTATTTTATTTACGTGTGTATATTTTTAGTTTCTTACTAATATCCTTATAATGGCGAATCGAAACATTTAAAAGAAATAAAAAATGTATATGTATTATTTTTTCTGCTTTTGTTTACTCTCAGTTTTCAAAATACGCCCACTTTTCTCATTGGTCAATCTTATCCCCACTAAGATCCATTTATTAGATATAAAAAATAAACGCAATCATTATAATAAAATAACATGCAGATACACCATTGTACTGAAAAGTGTACGCTTGGAATAAAATAAAAAAAGTACTAAAATTAATACGTTGATACTGAACGTTTTAAACATCGTCAAGGGTTAAAACACGTTTCCAGTGGGTTTCTGGGGTTGCTGATTTCGAATCTGATGTCAGATTTTCAAAATTCAAAATGGCGGTTAAGAGTTTCAAACAAATCCAATCATTCTTTCTAAGTTGGTCGCCATTTTAGATCCACCATTTTGAATTTTGAAAATCTGACATCAGATTCGTAATCAGCAACCCCAGAAACCCACTGGAAACGTGTTTTAACCCTTGACGATGTTTAAAACGTTCAGTATCAACATATTAATTTTAGTACTTTTTTTAAT